GCGTCCTAGACGCAAAAGCGATGGGCCTCTCCTCAGTATCCACTTTATGAAAGAGTATCGCGCCTACGCCGTACGCCGACGCGTCACATACGTGACCGATGTCCTTTTCAGGAATATAGTAAGTCAACACTCGTTCGCGCGTCAGCCACCGTTTTGTTTCCTGGAACGCTTTTTCCTCCACTCCGGTCCAATCGCACCTGGTGCTTTCACTTGTAGCTGGTGAAGTGACTTTAGCTCTGCTGACATGTTCGGAGCAAATTTCTCGTAGAAATTCAGCAACCCTAGATATGCTAGCAGCTGTTGTTTGTCCTGAGGGTTTGGCGCCTAATTGATTGCGCGTAGGTTTTCCTCGGAAGGCCGAATTCCTTGCTTATCAATTACGTGTCCCAAGTAAGCCACTGACGTCTCAAGAAACTTGCATTTTTCTTTTTTTTTAATCTGATACCGCGCTCCTTGAACCATGTCAGCGCGCTTTCCACTTTCCGGTAACATTCTTCAGAGGTTTCTCCGGCTATCAACACATCGTCAAGGTAGCACGACGCTCTCTCAAGGCACTTCAACGTCTCGTTTATTGCAGCCTAAAAAATAGACGGTGCACCCGTGATTCCATATGGGAGGCGTGTATACCTGAACAAACCCATATGCGTGCTTACAGTTACCAGTGACTAAGACTCCGGGTGCAGTGGCAGCTGCTGGTACGCCGTAGAAAGATCAAGTACCGTGAAATATTTGCAACCGTGTAAAGGCTAGCCCACATGGTGCGTTTTTCTCCGCGTATGCGTCGCGTCTGCGCCTGCGCTTTAAAGTCACTTCCGGCGCAAGGACGAAACGCAGCGTTTTTAGGCGCATTCCGGCGTATCTGAAGGAGCCAGATATTTTGCGTCCAGGCGGCGCGTCTCCCGCTGCGTCCAGCAGGCAACAACCAATGAACGGCCGTGTATTGGTAGCAAGCAGCGTTTGAAGTTTCTTCAGTTTTCACCACTTGTAGTTTTTGCCACGGCCTTGCGAGAATGGCAGTGAACAACGAACGCCTAGTTAGCGAAGTTGAAAAGCGTCCTGCGCTCTGGCAGCCGGAATGTAAGGATTACAAGGATACAAAGAAAAAATCGGCAATTTGGAGTGAACGCGGCGATCTCCTTCTGCCGGGAGACAAGGATCGTGGTAAGTCCTAACTTTCACCAACGAAAGTGCCCACCTCAATCTGAGTCTTCTTTTTATTTTAGTGGACAAAGTCCAGAAACGTTGGAGATCTCTCCGAGACAAGCTGGTGCGCTTGCTGCGCGACATGAAAAAAAAAAAAAAAAACAGGACGAGCGGTGCCGGCGCCGACTACGTCGAAGACCCGATGTCGTGGCCACACTTTGAACATATGTACTTCGTGCGAGATACCCTGCAGCATCGAAGGTAATGCGTGCACTGCGAATTCTCCGATAGTGTTCTTTGATTAAATTATTTGATAGCCGTCCAGGCTTCGCTGTCCCCAAATAATAGATTGCCACTCATAGATTCCACGTGTGAATGCCTCTGGTATGGCCCTTCGGTATTTCTGCTGTCACCGGCATCCAAGTGCAAATAAACATGATCATTATTATAATTACGCGATTTTACGACGCTTTTAGTGACGTTCTGATGCACTAAGGTCGGAGTAGATTTGGAGCTGCGTAGTAGCTGTGCCGATCGAACATTTCGGCTAGCATAAGCTTCCTGCACAATGTGAACTTTCTACTGGTTAATACTCAGTGTGATGAAAGGTACAGAAAGAACGAAATAGAATGAAGCTATTTTTAGCAGTGTGCAGTGACTTATGACCATTTTTCATGCTAACTCAGCGAAATCTGCCGAAGCGCTTCACACAATCGTTCACTGCACTAGTGAGCCTAGCGTTCCCCTACCCGAAAATTCCTGGCTGTGCCCCTGATGTGTGGCACTGATTGTTTGTTTTATTAAACTAATTTTTTTCTCCTTAATCAACAGCACGTCAGGAAACATGAAGACATCTAGCACATCGTGTAATAACGACTTCATCCGTCCGGTGAACGAGGGGGCCTATTTAGACGAAAGTGGAGCAGCGGGTGGGCCGGAGCCGGAGGCTTGCATTGTCGAAGTGTATGAAGTGGACGAGGAGTACCAGTCGGGGGCGGGTGGGAAGCCCATTCCCTCCAGCTTTTTCCAGTGGTGCTACGAACGAGCCGCAAAAGAAAAGGAAAAAGAGCAATCCTGACCCGCTCTTGATGGAGCTCCAAAATATAAGTTCTAGTGTTGCATGCCAGAAGAAGCCAGATGCGCATGAATACTTTGCCCTATCGTTGTGCGATCCAATGCGATCTATTCATCCAACCAAAGTGTTAAGAATGCGTAAAAACATCTTGCAGGCTATCGAAGACTGCCAGGACTAAATAACTTAGGCTTGTTTCAGATGGGGCAATTTTTTCCAGTAATCCCGCCGTTCCTTGCTATACCCGTTTTCACCTCAAGAACCATAGTAAAAAAAGTTCGGCTCCTCGCGGAGCACTACTAATTTCCCTCGTTACGCTGAGAATTGAGACATATGTAGGTGTATTTTAGATTAGATATGTGTTCTCTTATCAAGACGTACACGTTTCAAACGCCAAAAGCATCGCTTCTTCCTCCGACGACTAAATTTTGTGAGAACTACTTCGCGCGGCGTAGGAACATGGAGCAAAACTTCATTTTTTCTTGAGGTGAAAACGGGTATAGGTGGCATCGAGCCGGATCAATTCCAGCAATTCCGTGTTTCAGCTCGAGGATCTGTAAATTGCTCTGTCTGTAGTGAGACTTCGCGCTGCCAAGAGGGTACCTGGTTTAATTTTGTTATATTTTTAATGTTTAAAAGCTACTGGGGGTGCAATAGTGGAATGTAACATTCAGTGCATTTAGTCTACAGTTGCAGGGCATTTACAGACGTGAGGCTGTTGTGTGCAATACATTACCTGTGTACAACTTTGTTTTCTGTTTTGGTAAGATTGCTGCATAGCATGTTGTGCCCAAGCAATGTTTTCATACTATTAACAATATCTTATTTCTAGGAATGAAAGTTGTCAAGACTAATCTTCTTTTATGAGTTTCACTTTGATTATATGTACCTGGTATGTTGTTATTGTTACCATTATAAGCCGTGGATTCTGTACTGCTGCAGCAGGCAATTTACGAAGATGGTGATATGTTCAAGTTACATCTATATACAGAATATTTATTCAAGAGTTCAAATACATTGCTACAACTAGTGCAATACAAAATTCAAAACAAAATGTGCAATGTGAGAAATATGTAAACTTGGCAAGTTGTTGTGAATCAATATACCTACAGCATCTACTAAGTGCCTCCAAACAGCAACTTACCAATGAAGCAACTGGATATAAATGTAATCGGGACTTGGTGCTGCATGTACAGGTTAGTTGAAATAATCATGGTTAGTCAAATTAACTAGTCATTGCCGTGTGGCACATGCACTCAACGGATAGGCTAAAATGTTATCTCTAAACATGCAACCCCATCCTTTCTTTTTTTTTTTCGTTACAGCTGTAGAGGCGACAAGTATAGACATTCACTTTATGCTGCAATTTTGTTGTTCAGAAATGTACTGTTAATTACCATAATATTTTCTGGTGATGTACGATTCTTGCTATAGAACATTTACTATATTCGCAAGCGCCCCGGCCCGCACTCGAGGAATCATGGGAACGGTGTTCCTTCAGCTCCTTGGTGATTGCTAATTTTGACCAATTCCATGGTTACACAGTTTTTGAGCACAACTCGAAATCACCCTACCCTCAAGGACCTGTCGTACCACTTTTAAAATTGCTCGTGAATGTCAGCATTTTTGATACTGCAGCTCAACCTGGCTGAGCTGCAGAAATCTCTTGCAATATTATCATTCTCGTGATTGTTGTTTTAGCGGCAATGGTTTAAAAAGCCGACAATTCACAACAACGAAAACCAGGATTTAGCTCGGAGTCAGTGGGGCTTATAGCATTTTTAAAGTTTCCAACTTAATATCACGAAAATGATAATAATGCAAGAGATTTCTGCAGCCCGTCCTGGTTAAAGGATGGACAGCATGGACAGTGTCAAAAACGCTGACATTAAGAAATTTTAAGAGCGATATGATAAGGCCTTAGGGTATATCAGGCGCTTGTTTAGGGTGACTCCGAATTACGCTCAGTTTTGCTTTTGTTTCTCAAGCGCGTCTGGCTACGTTGGCCGGACGCTTCGGAAACGCAGACGCGAAGCGCTGCGCGTGTGGTTTGACTGGGCGCACGCGTCTGGCTTAGCGCGCGCGCCAAGCTGAGACGCACGTCTAGACGCACTGGAAAACGCACCATGTGGGCTAGCCTTAACGTTGCAAATACGTCTTCCATTACCGGCAAGGGATAATAAATGGTCTGTTCTGAGGTTCGGGTTCAGCGTTACCTTATAGTCCCCGCATAACCTTATTTTGTTTTTTCGGTTTAGGAACGACGACCAACGGAGTTGCCCACTCACTCTGCTGAACAGGAACAAGGACCCGGTCTTTACAAGCCAGTGCAACTCTTGCTCTACTGATTCTCTTAAAGCGAATGACGGAGTTTTATGTCTACAGAAAACTGGGGTTGTGTCGTCCTTCAACACTAATTTGGCTTGACTGCCCGCGATTAATCCCAGCGCAGGTTCAAAAACTTCCGAGAATCATTCAATCAGCGCTGCCACTTTGTCTAGACTAACACCATACACCCCCATCCAGTCTAGCTTTAACAACTCTAGCCAATTCCGGCCCATTAACAAGGTGTCAAATTTCTGCGGCGTTCGCAGCACAAGCGACAACACCATGGTGTGCCCATTGTGCTCCACAGGTACAATCAACTTGCCCAATATCTCCAACCGCACGCCCCCATAAGTTTTTAACTTTAGGCGACCGTTTGCGAGAGACAATCCCGGTCAGTACTGTTTATAAAACTGTTCAGGCACAATGAAAACCGACGCTCCCGTATTCATCTGCATCGTCACCCTTCTGCCCGCCCACGAACTTCAGTAGTGTAACCCCCTTTGCTAGCATTGCAAGATCCAGTGTTGTACAGCCAAGCGTTGTCCTCACCACTACCCTCTTCTACGGCGTGCACCAAACGGGACGTTGATTTGGAGACCCTTGCCAGGTGTCCCACTCGCCTACAAACTCGGCACTTGTACTTCCCGAACGGGCAAATTGACTCGGCATGGGGAGCTCCGCAGCGGAAACAACATGACGCCTCAGACGTCTCCATGGTGACTGCCATCGTCGCCTTCCTGGTAGAAGCTCCGACATTCCTGTCTCGGACGAGACGTTGGACGGCGTTCACCTCCACTTGCTCCGGGGCTGCTAGCTGAAATTTCTTGGTCTCTGCTCTTGCGAGTTCATGCTTCTGGCACTGTCGCACGCCGCCGAGAAAGTTAGTTTTCTTTTTTAGAAGCTCTGCTTGGGCTGTCTGGTCATTAAGTCCCGCGACAAAACGGTCCCAGAGTGCTTCATCCAGGAACTGCCAAAAATCGCAGGTGGCCGCGAGCCTTTTTACCTCCACCGTAAATGTCGCCACCGTTTCCTTCTGAAGCTGGGCCCTCTGGTTGAATTTGAATCGCTCGGCGATCATCATCGACTTCGGAGCGTAATGCTCCTCCCTCAGGTCCATGACCAGATGAGCATAGTCCTTCTGTTCTAGCTTCACTGGGGTTAACAGCGTCCTCAACGTGCGGTATGCTTGCTTCCCGATGGCCGTTACAAAGAGCAAGACCTTCAAATCGTCGCTCACCTTCATTGATTGAAAATAGTGCTCCAGCCGCTCGACGTCCGACTCGAAGTCTTCATTCCCATCCTCGATGAACTGCTCAAACCGGCCGCCGCACGAAGCCATAATGTGGTCCTCCTTCAAGGCGCTTCCGTTGTTGCAGATGACAGTGCTGACTTCTGTCTTTCCAGCCATCCCATCTTCGTCGCCACTGTTTTATCTTCGAGGGAAGAGCTCGGTGACGCGTGATTTATTCTTTGCTTCCAAGAATACAAGTCCAAACGTAGACACGCTCGCGGCTGCTTTCATACTGATAGCAGCCTCGCTATGGATAGGAAAGAGTGACGATAAGGTTAACAGCCACACGGCCCTTGACTCGGACACAATGACACAATACCGCGCGCGTAAACTCTATACTAATATGAGCGAGGGAAAATCTGATCGTAATTGGTAGATCAGACTTTCATGACTAAGCATAAAAAAATCACAAGAAATTATCAATATGTTTAAAGCGTGTTTAGAGGCAGTAGGTCTTCACATCGTTCTTCGGGTGAGACAATTTTAGATAAAAAAAAACACAATAGGCCTATTCATTCCTTATATTTTACTTAGTGTGACGCAGGAAAAAAAAAACAATCATTGAGAAACGACAATGGAACAGCAAGCCAGGCGGGCTCCAGCGTGACCAGTCCATAGACTGTCGTTGTGACCGTCAAGTCCGTAGTCGACCTCGACGGCGTGAATCTGTGACAAGAGAGACAATCACTCATGATAATGTATTTTAATAGAAGCGGTACAGTTTGGGAGGGCTACCTAATGTATTTACAAGGTAGCGCGAGATATTGGTCCGCGAAATAGTTGAAAACTAGAACAAAAAGAACACAGGCAACTCGTTGATGTGGCAACGCTGTAGTTTTAACACGTTGAGGATTGTCCTAAGGCAGACGAATAATCGTTGGAGGGAGACAGCAGGCTGTTCTTTTGTTGCTCTTCCCAGCAAATTAGAAAGTAATCAGATGCACTCAGCAGCCATTTGATGTTGTACATTTGAATATATACTATACTTAGAATCAGAATGTGAAACTAAAAGATAACTTTCATTCCCGGCTTCCCGTCTCATAAGTCCGTGGAAATAAAAAAAGATACAATTACAGTACGACGCTTAAGCTTCGCCTGTAAGAGTAAAACGCGATAACTAAATAATACACACGCTTTAGTTCCCAAGCCGTGCTGGCGCGTCTGGCTCAAAACCGAAGGGTTGCGGGTTTGAATCCCGCCTAATCTTCTTCAAATTGTTTCGTTCAGGCAACTCAACTACTTTATTAAGCAAAAGTGGTTTGAGGCACGCGCCGATCTGTAATTACCATTATATTGCATGTTTCAATCACTTTCATTCCACGTGTGACGTCGCGTTTCACGTGAACATTGTGGTTTGCTTAAAATTCCCGCGTATCGTCACGTGACTGTGACGTCAAGAAACTACCAACCAATCAGGATCTTCGTGTCCCACGAGCTTTTGAGCGCTATCACGTAAAAACAGAATTTTAATTGTGTTTCACAAAGCTTAAGTGCGCAATATAAGCTAAATTTGACCAGGTATATTGTGATACAGCTAAATCCCAGTTCTGTATGTTTCACTAATGAAGAACGTGTATTGGGTGATACGTTAGGCATTACACACACACACAAAAAAAAAAAATCAGGCTCGTACTTACGATAATAGAACGCCCTAGGATCGAATGAGTTCCATGGAGAGTGAAGTTCTGATATTTACGGCAGTGTATCACAACTTCACAAATCCCGTCAGTTTGCCACAATGTTACCCAAGTCACCGACGTGTCTGAAAGAAGAGTATTCAATGCAGAATATGCTTAATGCGGCGCACCGAGAAGTTCACAATGGAAGTTTGCTCATCATTAGGCATCAGGAAAGTCAGTAGAAGACCACATAAGTCTTACACATTTTCGTTAAATAGATGCCGATCAACGTTTTTTGATATTTGCATTTGGTTCCACGATTATGCAGAAGAACAGACGACTCTACTTTTTTGCGTCATTAGTTGTCGTTATTTGCCTGCCGGTTATTCGCCTAAAATCGTTCAATACACTCCTCAATAAAAAGGGTATGGATAGTCCTCCCTTAGGGGAGGAACGGTCTTGTAACCAATGTTCCTTTAGAAAGGGAGAAATTTTCGTCCATGAAGGAGGGGAGCAAAGTTCCTCCGTCGCTTGCATCTCAATATGGCGGCCCCGAATCGAGCAAATCGAGCCCAATAAGGCTTGACGAAAACGCTACGTCTCTTGCACGGGACGAGAGCAGCAGCAAATAAACACCTAACAAGTGCTTTCCGCAAACTGTGTTTATTTCCTAAGCCAGATTCCCCGCACATGTACAGAAACTTGCGATTCGAAAGCAGTTACTCAGTCTCCTCGTCGACAGCACTGCGATGTTAAACGGAGACAACCGATACCCAGTTACTTCGCGCACTTTGCGTCTTACCTTTGGTGTTCCTCGAGTCACAATTCCTTCGTCCACCGCACATCAAGGAGAAGAACAAACTCAATCCGCGAAACCAAAAGCCGCTCTCGAAAGAACAAACTCGAAGCCGCTGTTTATCGCGTAGCGTGAAAGGTTAAATCGCTAGCCACCGGATGGCGGGGTCAAGCAGGGTAATTGCAAGTAGCTAGGCTAGAAGGCGCTAGGTACCGCCCAATTCATGTTCTACAAAAAATAATTTGCTCTTCTCGGGTCACTACGGCGCTTGAGGATCCTCTACTATAAAACACATTACGCTTATTACAAGCATCAGGTGAACATACATTGAGCACATACACGGCACACACAAATGTCAATACAACGGAACACCACACTAACCCGAACACTACACCCGTGCTCTGCGTTTTCGTCTTTTATACTGGTAGTTTTGAACGTAAGGAACTTTTCGGTGACTCCCTAAGCAATAAAAAATATTCCCAGCATGTTGATTTTTTCCCAGCATTTTTTCCCTCTGACAGTATTTTGAATGGCTCAGTGGATTAATCTCTTATTAAAAAGTAAACGCTCGATCATGCCGTAATTATTTGAAAGCCAATAAATCCAGCCGCTCCAATGCGGTTCGAAGCCATGAGTTTGTTTCCCCACACGGCACGTCGTAGCCTGTATTTCTATTGGATTTTCTATTTGTGCTGTTCGCGCAAAGCTGCAATTGCCGTCTTGAATTAATATCTGTAGAGGGGATATTCACTCAGTTGGAATTGATGCTTCACGGGCTGAGAAATCGCTTTTCGATCAACTTGAATGCAGTCAAAGCCGCGACTTGCGGCAGGTGTTAAATGTACGGAGCTACGCCGTGGCGAGCCCGAAAACTTCTAGCGCTCATCCCAGCGCGCCACTTAGAGGGCGGTTTCTCCAGGAACCGTAGAATATTTAAACAGCAAAATAAAGGGTGGCTTTTTTTGAGCTTCCGGCTCAGTAACACTTCCTTTGATTTCCTTGCTCTCAAGACTCTGACTGACTGACTGACTGGTAGCTTTTTTTTTCGATTTTACCTACGATTGTTTTTTAATGCCGAAATTTCAAACTGTAAATATACGTACTTTCCTTCACCGATTTCGTACCGTTCAGTCCTTGCCCCGGAGCGCAATGGCTCTCGGGGACGAGACAATTTCGATAGTCACATTGGCCACTGTACGATAGCGATAGGAGCTTCTACTGTTCAGACCAGCGTTTCAACGTGACTATCCGCACGTTGATCGATTGCACGTGATTCCTCCAGTGGTATTAAACTTTTTTAATGTAAAGCGGAATGTCAACCTGCGACACCCCGCCCCCTCCGATCACGGCCCGACCAACGGCATCAATGCCCGACCAATTTACGATCTCATCTTGTCGTTACACCATTGATACGCGAACACACGGTCACATCGGCGATAATTCCAGTCTTCTGTTCACAACCCACAACACTGCCATCACGATGTTGCAGCTATGCTGCTGACACGTACAAATACAGAACCACGTTGAACGCCGGTTGCACTCGGCATCGGTAAACAGAATCGAACTCAGGACGGAAGGCACCCAGGCAGCCGGCAGCAAAACCTGCCTGTCTTGAACGCAGTTCCTGCGGTTTCCATAACGTCGAAAACGTCGACACAGTTCCGCGTGGTTTCGCTACTGTAGTGACTGTAGTTCCGTGCCGCGCGAGTCCCGGAATCCAGAGACGGCCATCCCCCAGTGTACGTGGCTCTGCTGGCACTGCTCCGGAACTTCGCTGTTTCTAGCGGCTTCGTTTGCTCGTTTGATAAAATTAGTGATAAAAACGTCAATGGAACCGAAATGTTTTGCACGTTTAGACTAGAAGACGGAATTATAGGCGGCCTTCGCTGCCGCTGAAGCTCAATCAACTCAACAGCATTTATTAAACAGCGTGCGCGACCTGCTCGAAAAACGAAACCGAGAGAAGATGAGTCGGGAGGGCGAAAGCTTTCTCCCGCCTGCCTGGAGAAGGAGAAAAACGTTTCGTTCCTCCACTTTTCTAGTGTCCGCTTGGGGGCGCGTCAGTAGAAGGGAGGAAGACAGGCCGTTGCTACTTTTTTCCTCCATTTTTTCTTAGAATGTACAACTGAGCCCTGTAAATAATTGAAAAGTCCAATTGCCAAATGTTGATTTCTCGCTAATCTAGCAACACGCCCGCGCGTCGGCACTCGTTGGATGGGCTCCCTCTCGTTAAGTGACGGCGTAGGCGAGATCGTGAATTGTAGTAGGAAGCAACATTGGAAAAGAACCAAGCCGAATTAAGGACACAGCGGCCACAGAAGCAGAAAAAGTGTGGTGTTACAATGAATTAGTAGAAATATTCAAAAATTAGTTGGAACGAAGCCAAGCCAGATTTAAGAACAAATGCAAACAGACGCCAAAGAGATGGTGAGCTAATGAAGCCAAAATAGCTATAAATCAGTGACAGGAGGCATCCAGGAAGCATAGACAAGCAAAGAAAGGGGTGCTTCACCAGAGAAAATACAGGAAAATTGGAAGGACTTTCAGGAAAAGAAATCAGCCGCATATGCTTTGATCCCGGACAAGATTAGAAACGACGAAATGAAACGAACAAGGAAAATTAACCGGGAATATAGAAATGCAGCCAAGAAGTTTTGAGAGCACATAAGACCGTAGGGTAAAAAGACTGAAATGCGCCACCA